CGATCTGGTCCTTGTACGTCATTGCTATCGCGATGGCGTACGTGGCCACCAGGAGGCAGATGAGGCAGCCACAATGTCGTGATGCCGCTGAGCTGTGCTGGGGCTCGTGGGGACCGCTGGCATCTGGGTGTTCATCATCGATGGGGTCGTTGTCGATGTCGGCCTGCCAGTGGTCGGTGGCACTGGGGTTGGAGTCAGTCACGTTGTCACCTCCTGCGGTCTGGGGATGTCCAGGTCTAGCCAGTGGTGCAGCGGGGCTGAAGCCGCCACTGCACGGACTGGCATGCGCTGTCGAAGCAGTGGAATGGCTTGTCACATCAGCGGCAGTGACGCCTTCAGCGTCGTTGAGCCGCGCACGAGGGTCGGCCTGATCTGAGGTGTGGGGCGCACTGCTTTGCCACGGGGCGAGCCCAAAGTAAGGCTCACTGTCGCGGTCACGCTGAGCCGAGTCGCCTGATGGTATCGTGCCGTCTCGATCCTGGATATCGATGTCGTCCTGGCTATCCTCCGACGCGTGGAACGAGTCCATGGATGTATTGCCGATATCGCTGGCCGCGATGTGCTGGAGCAGCCATGATACGGGATCATCTGCGGCCTGATCGGTGCCGTCCGTCGGCGCCGCAGCGAGCTCCGCCTCGACGAGCGGCAGCATGTCTGGCGGTTGGTGCAGGATGACATCAGCGAGGTACGCCATGGCGTCATGGTCGGGTGGAGGGAGACCTCTTGGCAGCAGAGCATGGGCCCGTGAGAGGTATGGCGGTAAAGGTGCCATGAAAGCCCCAGGGCCAACGAGCGTGGCACGAGCGCCCTGGTACTCCAGAAGGAGGCCGAAATAGCGGGTGGCGTACTCGCGGCTGCTCTGGATCCGAGTGAGGTTGCGGTTGATGCGCTGCCTGTCGGGGCCCGCTCTGTGCCAGATGTCCTCGCACATGTCGACCGCGGTGCGATGGCGCAGGGCGTCGGTGGTGTCCTCGGACGCCTCAAGGAAGAGGTGATCGTATTGCGGCAGATGGAGCGTCGCCAGGATGTACGGGACGCAGTCCTCGAGCCATGCCCAGAACATGTCCTGGTTTTCCTCACCTGGTGCCCACGCCGCAGCACACGGTATGAGCCGGGCGCGGATCATCATCAGGTGCCAGAAAGCAGGGTCTTCCTCGGGTTCGCCCCTATCTCGCATGGGAGTGGTGGGACCCGTAGGGCAATAGCGGGGCACAACAGCGGGGCTGAAGCCGCCACTGTGTGCCTGGCCAATACTGCACGGACTCGCGGCAGCGGTGCCGTTGACGATCGGGTCCAAGATGGTGCAGTGATCGTACTTGTAGATGCTGTCATCGTAGAGGTAGAAAAGGGACGCACGTTCGACGTGCTGCAGGAGAAACCCACCTCCATGCTGGGGCGCACCGCCTGAAGACGGGTGTGCTCCAGCGAGCGAGGGGAGGGCCAGGCTGCAAGCAAAGCGCCACATGATGGCGAGGCCTGGCAGGCGGCGCGAGCGATGAGCCAAAAGCTGCATGTCAGCACGCATCTTTAGGTACCCCTGCATGCTCATGTACATTGCAACAAACACACCCACAGCAAGATGACAGGTGTCCCTACACCAGGTAGCTTGCTCGTGCTGCTGCCAAAAATGACATGATATAGCAAGGAGGAGGTACGACGAGAAGTGAGAAGGGATGCCTCTGAAGGCGCTTCCTCGGAGGGCTGAGGCGGGCTCTCTGAGGCACCTTCAATAGGGTTCCTGTGTGACCCGCCCTTTGTCTTTGCCTTTGTCAGCCCCTGGGGGCCCCGTCCCTGGGGTGACCTGGCCTGGCTGGTCGATCCACCCGCAGACAGCCACGGGATCGGCAACTGGTGCAGCTTCCTCCTTTTTGGTTTCGAGGGTGGCCACCTGGGGCAGGTGGATGGTACCCCCCGTGAGGTGCCCGAGGAGGGCCTGGATGTCGCCGCGCAGTGCAGCAGCTTCGGTAGTTGCCGTCTGTTGCTGGGTGACGACGGTGGCAAGCCCTCGTTCCAAGCCTGTAACGTGCTCCGTGAGTGTGGCCTGGGATGAGAGAACGCCCGCAAGCTGGACCTGCATGTTGTCCACCGTGTTGGCAAGCAGCTCGTGCTGTTGTTCCATGTGTTGGATGCGGGTCGTGGCGGCATCTGGCAGTTTAGGGACCGTAGCGAAGCGTTCGCCGAGGGTGTTCGGTTCGTGCGATGCCACGCTGAATTCATCCCCTGATGAGAGGATCTCGACGTCGCCTGGTACCTCGGCGGCTGCGTCAGCGTGCCCTTCCGTGTGGCCCCCACCTTCAGCCGCCACCGCGCCAGGTTGCGGATCGTGCCCGTCCCCACCTGGTCCTTGAACGGCCGTCTGCTCGGCAGCTCCATCCGTGCCGTGCGGGGGTGCAGAGGAGCTGCGGCCTGGGGCGCCGTGTGACCTTGCGTGCGGCGTGGCGTCGCGTTTCCCGCTGGAGGATCGGTGGCGCTTGGCTAAAGGCTCCTCCTTGGGGATCGGGAGCGGTGCGACGCCCTTGCCTTTGGGCGTGGCAGTCATGAGGTCGTGGAGGTAGGGGCTCTGGGCCGCTTTGGTTAGGAGTGTGCCCGTGGCGGGGCTGAAGCCGCCACCACGGGCGGGCGGCGTCACAGGCTCTGTGATAGTTGGTAGGGGTGACAATGGTAACGTTATCCCTCTTCGGCACGACCTCAGCCAACGGGGCCTCGGTGATGCTCCACGGGATGGGGCACCCTGCGACCTGTACCGTATATGTGGGTGGGGGACGATGAGCGCGCACTAAGGCAAACTGCGCCGAAGTGGCTGGGTCCCAGGCGGGGTGGTAGACCTCACAGTCCCATTTGACGGACGGGCCCGTGAGAGTCTTAGCAAGCTGGGTCAGCGTGGCATGGCGTGCCGCAATGCCCGTGATGCGGTATCGCGTCTTGGCGAGAGTGGCTTCACAGCCACGGATGCTGACAGCAGCGGCCTTGGCGGCGTCTGACCCACGTGCAACACGGATCCCCAATAAGCCTGACTTGCCGTGCCTGACGACTCCTAGGGCTTTGAAGTCCACCGACTTCTGAAACGCCTCTGCCATCGTGATGGGCTGGTCCTCGGGGAACCACACGGTCTGGTACTTGTCTGCCGTGGGCTCGTCCGCACCTACGTTGCTGAGGTCGTAGGTGGCGCCGAGTTGCCCCGAACCCGCCAAGACCTTGTCAACTGCTTGAAGACTGACGCCGAAAGTGGCAGCCAGGGACCTTTTTCCGACGCCAGATCCGTACCTGCCTAGACTTTTGCAGGGTTCGAGGATAGTGACGGCTTTAAAGTTGCCGTGGAAAAGGGCCTTGAAGGTGTCCTGCAGCTGACTGTCGAGCTCCTGGCGGCGAGCGTCTTTCTTAGACTCCCTGTGCTTTTGGTTTTGGCGCGCCTTGTCCTGTGGAGCGGAATCCCCTCGGAAAGGACCCTTGGCGCGTGGACCACCGTTCACGGGGGCGCCTCCCGAAAACTGATCCTCGAAGGCCTGATGCATGGAGGGGACTGCGGCGATGGCTTCGGTTTCATGTATGGTCACCCGAATCCAGCATACGTGGTCGGCAGGATCAATGGTGGCGACGGCTACTTTTTCCGTGCAGGCGACTTCCTTGGTGCCCAGCTGGTACACGGTCACGGGGACGTGCGTGTGAACCACTTTGGGCGCCTTGGGGTGGCGCTTCAGCACGGGGACGGCGAGCTCGGTGCCGACGTAGTTGTCGTTTTTTGGGCCCATGACAGCGATCGCGAGCTGACCCGTGGTACGCTTACCCTGCTCGAGATGGTGCTGCAGCAGCCGCTCGCCGCTCTCGTAGTCGTGGAGGCTGATGCTGGGCTTGTACGTCTTGCCGTCGTCGAGTGATGTGGGTTCGGCCAGGACTGGGACCTTCCAGAAGGCCGGGTCCAAGGCAATAAATTTGGCGTCCGCAGCCTGAAGACGTGCGGACGCAGCTGGTGGATAGGATGTGTCACCACCATTGCGCTTAGGCTTGCTGCGCTGGTGGTGATCCAGCGTGTAGCTGATCTGGTTGGCGGCACACATGCGAATCAAGGCACTGCCGAGCTTCTTGGTGTTGGTCTTGTGCATGTCGTACGTGGCCTGCAGCTCGTCCGCGTTCAGCTCGGCGAGCCCGTTGTATGCGGCTGTGGGGCGGTCAGACCCCGCTTGCTTGAAGGCTGCAATGCAGTCCTGTTTGCGTTGGAGGAGGGATCCTTCAGCTGCAGGACGTGAGCTCGGCGGCTGCTTGGAAGAGCGACGGCGCTCCGGCTTGGCGGGGGCCATTGCGGCGGGCGCTCTGGTGGGAGGGAGGGGAGGTGACGCAAATCAGTACCGCGCTGCTGGCGCGGTTCCGGTCTCGCGAGGCCTGGGAGTCTGGACTCCGAGGCGGGGCGCTTCGCGTCGCGGCTACGGTCTGAGTGCAGGGCACTCTCGAGCCGAGACTAGAGAGAGAGAGAGAGAGAGAGAGAGAGAGAGAGAGAGAGAGAGAGAGAGAGAGAGAGAGAGAGAGAGAGAGAGAGAGAGAGAGAGAGAGAGGAGAGAGAGAGAAGAGAGAGAGAGAGAGAGATAGAGAGAGCAGAGAGGAGAGAGAGGAGAGAGAGAGTGAGAGAGGAGAGAGAGAGAGAGAGAGAAGAATAGAGAGAGAGAGAGAGGGAGAGAGGAGAGAGGAGAGAGAGGAGAGAGAGAGAGAGAGAGAGAGAGAGAGGAGAGAGAAGAGAGAGAGAGAGAGAGAGAGACAAAAAAAGAGAAGAAGAAAGGGAGAGAGAGAGAGAGAGAGAGAGAAAGAGAGAGAGAGAGAGAGAGAGAGCTCCATAGCCATGTTGGCTCAAGGCCAAGAGACACCCGACGACCGCGAGTCCCTCGCGGGCGTTTCCTGAGCGCGAGGGGTCTCGCGCCTTGGGGCCGCGACTCTTTGCAATTTCTCTGCCGGCGCTCGCGGCCGCGGCGGGCGGCGGCCGCGGTGTGTCTCCTTGCTGCGCTGGGGGCGCCATGGCTGGGGGCAGCTCTGGCGGCGGGGCGCGCGGCGGAGGCGGCAGCGGCGAGTCGGGGAAGTCAGGGGGGCCTGGCGGCGGGCCCCGCAGTGGCGAGTCAGGGGCTGCGGCCAAGGCAGCGGCCAAGAGCCCCTGGCACTGCAAGTCTTGCAGTACGCCTGGCGCCAGAGGCTTCAGGAAGCTCAGCTTAAGGGGCTGCATGCAGTGCAAGTGGTGCAACATGCCGAAGAGTTCCCACTTCGGTGGGAAGCCGGCGCAGGCTGCGCCCTCGCGGAACAACGCCGAGGTCAAGCTCGCCCAGGCGCTGGACGAGCTCAAGCAGCTCAAGGCGGCGGCGGCCCAGCCTGGGGCGGGAGGGGGCTCCGCGCCTGGAGGAGGCACGCCCCCCTGGCGTGAGGGCGCAGCGGCGGGGGGCGAGAAGCGCCAGCGCTTGGAGCAGCTGGACAAGCAGCTGGGCGAGATTCGGCGCTGGGCGGACATGGAGGACGAGGGGGGCGAACTCGTGGAGGCCGCCCGCAGCAGGAAGGCCACGCTCGAGGCGGAGCGCGATCAGCTGCGCCAGGAGGTCTTGGTCTTCCAGGCTAAGCCCAAGGACGTGCAGCTCAATAGCCTCACGGACCAGATCAAGAAGCTGGAAAAGCAGCAGGAGAAGGGCCGCGGGGAGATGGTGGCAGTGGCGGCGCAGCAGAAGGAGCTTGACGCCAAGGCCGGAGCGCTGCGCCTGGCGGACGCCGAGCGGGAGGCGAAGCTGGCCGAGCTCAGGGCGGAGCAGGCTCGCACGCTGGGCAAGTTGGCTCAGCCTCCTTCTGGGCTGCGCAGTGGCATGGAGAGAGATCGAGGTCGAGGGCCCCGAGCTCTCCGCCAACTTCCTGGGCGATGTGCTGGGCTCGATCGGAATCGAACGGGCTCTGCATGCGTCGCTGCTGGAGCAGGCGACCAAGGTCGAGCAGCAGCGCCGAGAGGCCAGGGCTACTGAGGCTGCAGCGGCAGCAGCCGCCAGGGCGGCCGAGCGGGTGCGTGCCCCGATCCCTGGGGAAGGAGTCCCTGCAGGCGGAGATGCCATGGGCGACGAGGAGCTGGACGTCGACACGCAGCTCAGCTTCCTCACGAAGGTGGGGGCCGCCCCAGCTGGGGCCGAGGGCACTGATCGTCCTGCTGACGATGATGTGCGTGAAGCCTTCAAGCGGTTCTACGCCGACTTGGACCTGCTGCCGCCCAAGCGGGCGCGCACTTCGGCCTGCGGGCCGTGCAGGAGCCATGGCGGGCAGCAGTGGCAATGGGGTGGCCGACGACAACGAGTTGTACGAGGCCGACGAGCAGGCTGCCCGTGCCTTGGGAGTCTGCGACTATTGGGGAGCTGACGGCTGCCCAAGCCAAGAGGGTCAGACGCGGCCAGGGCGCGGAGCGGCAGCGGCCGCTGGTGGCGCGGCGCTGGGGCTGCTGTGCGCGGAGGAGCTGCAGGGGTCGGCTTTAGGCTGCGGACTGCATGGCCTTCCTGTTGGCGCTCTCGCTGGGGGGGCGGATCTTCAGACCCACTCTGGGCTGAATGGGGTGATCGGCCATCAAGGGTACGGCCCCAGGATGTCAGAGGCGGTTGACCAGGGTGGGTCTCCCAACTGGCAACCACGGGCGTCGGCCTCAGGGCACGGCCCAGGGGGGGGGGAGGGGGCGGAGGGATTCAGCCCCTCGAAGTCGCAGCCCCCTCGTCACACGGACACCACTTCGGCGACTCGTTGGAAGGGGACGACCAGATCTTCGAGGAACTCGGCCGCCCCGCCTGCCAGGAAGGTTGCAGGCCCCGAGACCCTGCCTCGGTAGGCGCTGCAGCCGATCCTGTGCGCCCTGGGCGGAGCTCGAGCCCCCCGCTCGCTCCGCCCCTCCAGCCGCGCGACGGCGCCGCCATCCCGCGGGCCCCAGCACTGCCTGGCCAGAGGCCAGGAGCTGCAGGCTCACCTCGGGGCTGCGTGGGCGAGCGCACGCCTATGGTCAGGGGGGGCTGCTGCCTGGCCACCGCCAACGTGGCGTCGCGGGGGCCCTTGAATGAGTACCTCCTTCAGGCTGATGGCCAGACGACCCTGGTGCTGGCCGTGCAGGAGCACCACTGTGCGGCAAGCGCCCTGGCGAGCAGCAGCAGGCGGCCAAGGATGCTGGCTGTCATGGAGTCTGGAGCGCCGCCGCGCCGTCCCCGACATCGACGACGGGTGCGAGCGGCGGGGTCGCGGTGCTGGCCCCCGCCAGCATCCAGTTGACGGGCCCTCCTGGGCGCGACTCGCATGTGTTGGTGCCTGGGCGGCTGGTCGCTGGGCATGTTCGAGCAGGACCTCAAGGGGGCGTGGTGGTGCTGAGTGTGCACCTGCACGTCGGGGAGGGTCTCTCGGCGAACAACCTAGGCATCATGTGGGAGCTGGCCCGGTACCTCGGCGCGCTGGAGGCGGAGGGCTACCACTGGGCGGTCATGGGAGACTGGAACATGGAGGCGGACGTCCTGGACTTCGGTTGGATCCGCAAGCTGCGAGCGCAGATTCGGGTAGCTGACGCCCCCACCTGCAGACAGGGCAGCGGCTCCAGGATCGACTATTTCGTGGTGTCCAAGAGCCTGGCTAGCTTTGCGGCGGCACCGCCGCGGCTGGACAGGGGTGCCAGCACGTGGCCCCGCTGGCCCGTCCACCTGCCCCTGCGGGCGCTGCGAGTGGAGACTTGGCAGCAGGTGCTGGGTGAGCCGAGGGCAGTTCCCAGGGAGCCCGCCAAGCCTGGCTGCGCCCGTGGCCCCTGGCGGTGGACGGAGGTGATGCGGTGCGTCCAGGCCACGCATGGCGACCAAGGCCTGCAGATCATCTGGGACCTGCTGCTGGAGGGAATCGAGACGGAGATCCTCGACAGACGGGACCTGGTGGGACCCGCCCGCCGCGCCTTCGCAGGGCGTGGCCCGCGGGGGGAGGCTGCAGGCTTGAGATGGGAGATGGCGCAGTGGAGGCCACCCCAGAAGCGGAAGCTGCGGGGGCCAGAGGCCCACGCCTGGGCGGCGTTGGCTGGGTGGGCGTCCGAGCTCCTCAGCAAACGGGACCGCCTGGGCAAGTTGCTGGCAGCGCTGGACAGCCACAGGCAGGAGGAAGGCAGAACGGCGGTCGCGGCGAGGGAGAAGTGCATGAAGTCCATCGCGGCCACCCTGGCGCATCTCACGATGTTCCTGGCGGACATCGAAGGCCATGTGCACTCGCGGACCCTGCCGCTGTGGGCACAGCGGCCCTTCCGAGCCGACGCCAACTGGGCAGAGGCGGACTTCGAGCGGGACCTCACGCGTGCGCTGGCTGAGGCGAAGGAGAAGCAGAGGAGGCTGGTCCAGGCTGACGAGGCCCGCTGGAAGGAGTGGGTGGACGAGGCCTTCCTGGGCGGCGCGGGAGCGGCGCATGCGACCTCCAAGGTACCTGCGCTTCAGGAGGTGCTACCCGCGCTGCAGAAGGAAGGCTCGGCGGCCTTAGTGGTGAGGGAGTTGAAGCCGTGGATCGACATCTGGAACTACCACGGCCCCACCAGCATGGAGCTCCCCCTCGACGCGCATGCATGGGACAAGTTGCCGCCGTTGCAGCTGCACGGCGTACGCGAGGTGATGCGATCGTTCCCATGGCGCACAGGGGTGGGTCAGCCGGGCATTCCGCCGAGGGCGCTGGAGGATCTCTCCGACGGGGCCTTGCACGCCATGATCGCGGTCTGCCACAAGTGCGAGGAGCCCCTCGCGTGGCCGGGTGGCCGCCTCATCAACACCATGGTGAGGCTGCCCAAGCCCGGCGGGGGCTGCAGGCTGATCGGCCTCATGCCGGCCTTAAGCGAGTGTGGAGCCGAGCAAGAAGGCCGATAACCAAGGACTTGGAGCTTGCCCATCCCTCGGCCCTGGTTTGGGGCACGGGCCCTGGACGCTCGAGCTCCGACTCCGCGTGCGAGCTGAACCTGGCCAAGGAGCAGGCTCGCCTTGGCGGCTTGGACTCAGCCCAGGTGGCCCTCGACCTCTGGAAGGCCTACGAGCTGGTGGCGCCCGAGGCGCAGCTGGTGGAGGCCCGAGCGCTGGGGTTCCCTATGAGGCAGGTTTGGGTGCTGCTGGGCACCTATCGGCAGCCAAGGACGCTGGCGGCGTTCAATACTACGTCGGACCTCGTCGTGGCCTGGCAGGGGAACATCGCAGGGTGCGGCCACGCCAACTCGCTGCTGATGGTGCTCACGCTCCGCGCGCTGCAGAGAGCGCACGCCATTGCGCTGTCGGTGACGCCGCGTGGCCTGGTGGACGACGTCACCTTGGACTGGAGTGGACCACGGGGCGCGCCCGACGACAGCCTGTCCGAGGCGCTCAAGAGCTTCTCGTCGAGCATGGTGGAGCTCAAGCTGGTCATGCAGCCGCAGAAGTCGGGGCACCTGGCTTCCTCCAGACAGAGGGCGCGGCTGCTGGCGCCCTCCATGCGGAGCGCGGGCCTCGCGGAGAAGTTCTGGGTGCGCAACCTAGGGCGCGAGCTTCATGGGCGGAAGGCGCTCCGTACTCAGGGGAAGCGCCGCCTTCAGGCCCTCGCGGCCAGGCGCAGCCGAGTGGCCATGCTCAGGCGGGCCGCTGGAAGGCGCGCAGCGGCGCTGGTAGCCACGGGCCTGTCCCCTTCGGCTGGCCATGGCGCGGGCGTGGCTGGCCTGGCGGATCGGCCGCTGGCACAGCTGCGGACGGTGGCGGCGGTCACGGCGGGTGCCAAGGCGGGCTGTGGTACCGCCGCGGTCATGCTGCTGCAGCGGCGCGTCCTGAGTACCAGCTGGGGCAAACTGGCTGAGGCGGCGAGGGCGGGCACATTGTCCTGGGCGTCGGTGCAAGGCCCGCTCGGGGCCACGTGGCTCACGCTCGGCCGCGTCGGCTGGACGATGGCAGCGGCGTGGGCGCTGCAGACCGACCTGGGCGAAACGCTGTCCATGCTGAGGGTGGCCCCGCGGGACATCAAGGACGCGCTGGTGGAGGGCATCCAGCGCTGGCAGTGCAGGCGGCTGGTAGCCCGCCTGACGAGGGCCAGGGCGACGCCCTCTGGCCGAGGGCAGTCCGCGCCGTGGCGTGCAGGGCGAGGCCCGCGGCGGAGCTGGGGGCCATCCAAGCGGTTTGGGCAGGAGGGCACTTCACCAACGCCTGGAGATACGCCCGAGGATACGCTGACTCCGACACCTGCCGGGCCTGCGGGGGAGCCAAGGACACGCTCATGCACAGGTGGTGCGTGTGCCCTGTCCTCATGGCACCGCAGGGCGAAGAGCTGGAGCACGAGGCGCCGTTCTGTAAGCCGATCGCGGAGATGCGCCACCAGCTGGAGGAGGCCGAGCAGAAGTGGACCATCGGGGACAGCGAGCTGCCGCTGTCGTACGGCCTGCCGCTGCTGCCTGCCATGCCGCCGCCCGCGCTTTCGGACAACGTGGTCTTTGAGTGCAGCGGGAGGGCTGGCCGTCGGTGGTATGCACGGGCGGCTCAGGGCACGCCTCCTGTGTCCCCAAGGCGCGAATGTGCGGATGGGCCGCGGTGGCTTTCAGGCCTGATGGGCTCCCCCTCAAGGCGGCATACCGGCCGCTGCCTGGGCCGCGCCAGGCGGTGGGGAGGGCTGAGCGGCAAGCGTGCCTAGTGCCCCTGGTGCAGGCGGGCTCCGTCCAGGTCATCGTCAGCGACCTGCAGGCCCTAGCCACGGAGGGCAACGACTGGTCCCCGACGGCGCAATCGGCCAGGGCACGGCACGCCAGCATCTGGCGCCAGCTCCATGCGGCTGCAGCGAGGCGCGGGGGACCGCCGCCGCGCTTCCGATGGGTGCCCGCCCACCGCAGCCTCCAACAAGCGCTGGGCGAGGGCTTGCGGCCCCTGGACTGGCTTGGAAACTGCTGGGCGTACTTCTTCGCCAACCTCGGTGCGGAGGGGACCAGGCTGCCCAACAACACGGTGGAGGCGCTGCAAGCGGAGCTCCAGCGCGCTCTGGGCACGGCCACGTTCCTGGGCTGGGCGGCGGCGCGCATCTGCCAGCTGGACCTGTGGAGGCCCCTCGGAGAAGATGGCAGACTCCAGCGCCGTCAGGTCTGGAGGGGGCCCGCGGCCCCAAAGCTCAGCCTCACGAGGCACGAGTATCAAGTCATCAGCTCGTGCGGAGTGCAGTGCGTTCATTTTGGGAGGGAGGCCTGCACGGCAAAGGCACGGACGCTGCTGGACTGCAGGCCCTGCCAGCCTGCGGAGCTGGGCAGGATGCGGGCCCGCTGCAACCAGGGGCGGCCACTGGCGAGTTCAGCAGCTGTCAATGCGAGCCTGCAGGCGGCTGAGCGCATGGAGGAGG